TATATTAATAATATGTATAGTTTTGCGGTATTTCGGGAGGTTTTCTGACGATTTCTTACTTTTTGGTCGTGTCGTGTCTGAAGAGATAAGGGGGGTGGTGGCGCTTCGCCAAATATTTTGGCGAACTGTCATCAGACAGTTGGTTGTGTGAATAATGCGTAGCGTGTTACTTTTGGCTAATATGTATAGTAGTAATATATATGTATATTAATAATGTATATGTATATTAATAATGTAGAAATGGTAAATAATATAATAGTGAGGTGCCGGTTTAGCAGCGAAAAAGTCGGCGGCGATTGGAGCAGTGGCTCAGTTGGCGTATTTTCTGCGGGAGAATAGTGACGAGGGACGTGCGGCAGTGGTGAATCTGATGGGGTTGTTGGTGTCGAATCGGGATTTCGTGGCTGGTGTGTGGGAGTATACAGTGGGACTGAGGGCAAAGGTGGCGTTTGGTACACCGAAAACACTGATTTCGGTGCTGGAAAAGGTAATTTTGGTTTTTTAATGGTTTTTTGAGGTTTTTTCCGGGTTTATTTTGGTGCTTTGTGGGGTTTAGATTGGTGTTTTAGGGGTATTTTGGTTGTTTTTGTGGTATTTTGGGAGGTTTATTTTGGTGTTTTTTTGAGGTTTTAAAAGGTTCATTTGTTTCTTTTTTGCGGTATTTTTGGGGTTTTCCAGGCGAATATCTGAGGAATTAAAGGTGGCGACGTTTCGCCAAATATTTTGGCGAAATGTCACCACACATTTGGTTATGTGAAGACTGTGTAACGACGTTTCAGGGTGACTGTATAATGGGCTCAGAGCAGCCGACGTTGGTCGCACCGCTATCGTTGTTTATAGCGTTGCTATCGAATATACTGCAGACGATTGATGACGATGATTTATTGGGCNGTTTTGTTGTTTTGTTATTGTGTTTGTTGTTTATTTGTTATTATTGTGTTGTTATAATTATTATAATTATAAAATATTTTAAGAGATTTGACCCTGGGATTGATTGATATAGCGTATCCGGTGGTGAATTACGGTGCGATGAGTGGGGGTGGTATTGGGTTCATTGGAGGGGGCGGGGCGAAGGTGATGACCAGTGAGGAGAGGGAGAAGAATGCCAAGTGGGCGGAGCTTTTTAGGGTATGTTATTATTTATTACTGTTATTATTTATTATTGTTATTATTTATTGTTATTGTTATAATTAATTAATTAATTAATTGATGTAGAATGTGGCATCGATAACGAAGGTGTTGTATGAACGTGACAGCCGACTGCACTTTATGCCGAATGGCTTCTGGTCGAATCATAACCGACAGGTGGTGATTAATACGGTGGGTATTTTTTGTATTATTGTTATTGCTTTTATTATTTATTATTATTATTATTTATTATTATTTAATATTGTTATTTATTATTATTATTATTGTGAGTGATTCATAATGTTTATAGTCAATGTGGCGTAACGGAGGGCGTGGCCAAGGTGGTNTATTATTATTGTGAGTGATTCATAATGTTTATAGTCAATGTGGCGTAACGGAGGGCGTGGCCAAGGTGGTCGTAGGCGGGGCCAAGGAGGGCCAAGGAACCGCCCATTTGAGTTCGTTCGCTTTCTGTTGTACGACGCGGACGATTTGGAGGCGGAGCCACCGAGTGCGGTGGAATTGAGAAATTTATCGATTTTGAGGGCGATTCCGTTCGTGATTCCGTTTTTGCAGAGGGTGCAGGTGGGTTTTATTATTTTTTATTATTATTTATTATTGTTATTTATTATTATTTATTATTATTTATTATTGTTATATTATTGGTGTTTACTTTAGATGTTTACTGAGGTGATCGCGCAGGATAAGGCTCAGATTGGGGCAGACGAAAATTTTGGTGGGTGGAGTTTATTTGTTGTTTTTATTATTTATTATTGTTATTCTGTTTATTATTATTATTTATTATTGTTATTATGTTTATTTATTATTATTTATTATGATTAATAAAGTAAATTTGTAAGAGTAATAATTGTGTCCGTTTTGCAGGATTCCCGATTCGGGACGGTCACCACATAGTGGTACATCGTACCACGCTGTATGAGGACGCGTTCGAGAGTCTTGCGCCGGGCAGAGGTTTATTATTTATTATTATTTATTATTATTATTTATTGTTATTTATTATTATTTATTGTTATTTATTATTATTTATTGTTATTTATTATTACTTATTATTATTTATTGTTGTTGTAGTACCGGACATGCGGCGCCCAATCCGG